CAATATATTTCCAATTTATTTCATTTCCGATTAATATTATTATTATATCTTGAACGATAAATTATCGAAATATTATTTTCACGTAATATCTCGTTGAAAATCGAGGAAATTCCAACAAGAATTCCAACAAACAACATCAACATTCCATATAAACGTCCAATCAATTGACCAAAATTTCCACAGTATCTAATATATTTTCATTTTCCAATTAACTTTCATTTCATTTCCAATTATTATTATTATTATATCTTGAACGATAAATTATCGAAATATTATTTTATTCGTAACGTCAACTATTAAATTTTCTCCATAACGTCCCGTTGAAAAATATATCTTTGAACGATCCAATTTCAATAACTTAAACTTAACGATCCTCGATCCATTTCTATCATCTTTAGAATCGACGAAATCCTTTTAAAAATACTCCAACGAAAATCAAAATTTCCACAATATATTCCTTTCATTTCATTCTCCCACCCTCCCTCCAAAAGAAGGGAAGGGAATGTATCGAACGTATTATCACGGTTTCAGTCTCGCAATTGCTAGGCGTGGAGGAGAGCGATCTTCTGGAGGCATTGACATCGAACTCGGTTATGACCAGGGGCGAGACGATCACGCGAAACAATACGGTGGCCGAGGCTTGCGCTGCGAGGGACGCGATGGCGAAAGGGCTGTACGGCCGATTGTTCGACTGGATGGTCAATCAAATCAATTGTTTGCTGTGTTTCAACCGGTCGCCGAGCTACGAGCCGCTCGCGATCGGCCTCCTCGACATATTCGGCTTCGAGAACTTCCCCCGCAACTCGTTCGAGCAACTGTGCATCAACATAGCCAACGAGCAGATACAGTATTACTTCAATCAGCATATCTTCACGTGGGAGCAGCAAGAGTACATGGCGGAGGGGATACCGGTAGATCTGGTCGAGTTCTCGGACAACAGGCCCGTGCTTGACATGCTGCTCAGCAAGCCTATGGGGCTCCTCGCTCTGCTGGACGAGGAGAGCCGATTTCCAAGATCCACCAATAAATCTCTGATCGGTACTCTCCGTAATTCGTCGTTTTTTTCGCGCTTACGAATCTATCTATTCAATCAAATCGTTAAATTTTTTAAACAGATTAGCCATGAATTTAACTCGATATACATTTCAGATTTCGTAATTTAATTATTCAACATATGGTCGGTGTTGTTAAGCTGAGAAACTCGCTACTTTTGTTATATAAGATGTTGAAAAAGAAAAAAAATGTTCAATTAGATAATGATGACGGGATTGATGAACGAATTTGTGAATGTTGCAGAGAAATTTCACAACAATATCAAGTCGAAATTCTACGTGAGGCCGAAATCGGACGCGGTTTGTTTCGCGGTCCATCATTTCGCCGGACGCGTGGTTTACCAAGCGGAAGGATTCCTGGAAAAGAACAGGAACTTCCTCCCTCCTGAAGTCATCCAACTCATCAGGCAATCCCAGTACGACATGGTCCGTTTCCTGTTCCAATGCCCGATCACGAAAACCGGCAATTTGTATTCCGCTGTATATGACACCGATTCCAAGAAATTGTCACAATCGAATCAAAATACGAAGGTACTTGTCAAATTTCATATTTTTCATCCAAGTCATCTATTTTCATAATCGAAGAAATTATATACGTTATCGATTTTAATTTATTTAATGACGCAATTGAAGTTTCCACAGCGATTGAAAAAAATGAGAAATGTTTTCATTTTTGATTTCAAAGCGAATATTTCGCCCCTTTCTTCCTGATTTTTAATACGATAATCGATCAACCGTATGAATTCTTTCTTCTTCTTTTTCTTCTTTTTTTATATCAGGAACGTTACTCGAGTCGAGGGCTAGCGTCTCAATCCAGAGTCCAGCAAACTGTGGCAACTTACTTCCGATACTCGTTAATGGACCTGCTGCAAAAGATGGTGTCCGGATCGCCGCAGTTCGTACGATGTATAAAACCGAACGACTCGAGGAGCCCACGTTTCTTCGACAAGGAGAAAGTGGTGAAGCAATTGAGATACACGGGGGTGTTGGAGACGATAAGGATCAGACAGAATGGATTCTCGCATAGGATACCGTTCAACGAGTTTTTGAAACGGTATGCAAACTCTTGAATATCAAAATATAATCATAGTTAAAAAAAGTAAATATTTCGTTCGATTAACTCGATATTTTAATCAATCCAACGATGTCCATCCATTGATTTATTTGAAATTCAAGTCGAATTTGTCGCATCTAGTTCCATTATTCTCACTATTCTTGAATGCTTTATAAACAAAGTTCAAATAAATGTTACTCGTTCCAAGAATTGACTCAAGAATCCAACCAATTACTATATATCTTAGTTAAAGAGTTATTGTAAAAATAAATCGATGTATCTGGATTAAAACTGCTACTATTGTTGATCTTGTCGAATTGCGAGAAATGGATTATTTAAATCGATTGATTATTATCTTCATTTACATTTCAGATACTGTTTCTTGGCATTCGGCTACGACGAACGTGTAATAGCTAATCGCGACAATTGTCGCCTACTTCTGATTCGTCTAAAGATGGACGGATGGGCATTGGGTCGAACGAAAGTTTTCCTCAAATATTATCACGTCGAGTTCCTATCCAAGATGTACGAGGAACAATTGAAGAAGATCATCATGGTCCAGGCGTGCATCCGCAGATGGCTCGCCAGGATCAGATTCAAGAAACAGAAATGGCAGTTCGCCGTGTCCGTTGTGACTTTACAACGTCACATACGTGGATGGTTGTCGAGGAAACATTTCTTGCAGGAGATGAAAAAGAAACACGAGAAGGAGGAAGCAACTGTTCTACAAAAAATGCTGGGTATAATTAAAATTTTAGTTAAAGGAGAGTAAAAGGCAAATTTTTTAATATCGTGCGCGTTTAACGAATAACGGATATCGTTAAAACGTTTGTCCACAGAGGAACAGAAAAAGAAAGAAGAGGAGGCTAAAAAGGAGGAAAACGAAAACGAAGAGGAATCAAAAGAACCATTGGAGATGGATAATGCTGCGACCATAATACAGAGCCGTAATTTCATTTTTTTTTTTTTAAATTCTCCGATAAAACGCCAGTTAAAACTTGACGAAAAAATATTAATCTAAAATATTTCTCTGGTTTTTCAGATTTCAGAGGATACACGATTCGTAAACGCTTCGGACCCGAATTGGAAGAGAAGTTCAAGACGATCTTGAACAATTACAACGATAAATTCGAGGCGCATAACGCGTTGTTGCGCGAAGGATTGAAGAACGAAGAAGCGGCGTTCATCGTTCAACGGTGGTACAAGAAAGAGGAAAAGGTGAAGAAGAAGAAGAAATCATCGGTAAATGATCCGGTCCATTACAAATTAAGGCAAGCTGATCTCATACAATTTTCTCAAAATGTGAGTAAAATCTATTTTAAAAATCATAAACCAAACCAAAGTGTTAATATATTTGGCCTCCTCCTCCAGAATCGACTCTTTAAAAATTAAAAAACCCGATTCGAGATTTATTTCACATCGAGCCTCGTAAAATCAAACGTTTAATACAATTTACATTATTTAAAATCCCTTCCAAATATAATATCCATTTACTCTCCTCGTGACAAAATCCAAATAACCCAAATCGAGAAAAGAAAAATTTCCTCGAGTATTTTATATAAATTTCCTTCGATATTAATTCGATCGATCAACGATGAAACAATAATTTTTTCCGCATTTAAATTGAAAAAGAAACGCTACCACCCACTCGAATATATTGACACCCCTAAATAAATGTCTTCCAATCCTCGTGATATTCAAATTTTGTGGTATGGGAACGATACGAAAGATACATATGAAAAATCAAGAAGTGCACAAGAACCTGCGGCACAACAAGCCAGGGATACGGATAAACGAGATAGAGGAGCCGCCACCTGATTACACACGGCCGGAAGGATTCAGCATGGTGCAGCCTATCCTGCAATATCGAAGTGGAAATCAAGTGGAGGGGGAGGAGACGATCAAGTACTATCGCGACTTGAAGGATGAGATGAGCAGGTAAATAGACGTAACGCTTTATAACGATCGGTTACAAACGTTTCTCATCACGGGTGAATGGTGAAATTCGAATGCTCAATTTTCCAATGCTTTTGGCACTCGCATCGAAAGTGGTTCGGACTTCGAAGACGAAGAAGTTGGCTGGGACTTACCGTTGATACAGCTAGAAAATGACATTCATCCATTGACGAGGTATATTCGTAGATGATTTTCGGACATTCCTTTAATTTTTTATCTCGAAGAGTTGAATATTTGTGAAACTTCCTTACTTTCAATCTAGTCTCGATATATATACGAATTTCTATTTGGAATCTGATAGATTAGATTTTTTGACTTTTGTTGGAGTATCATAGAATATTATATAGTATTTATATTTTGAAAATTTCTAGATTATCATCCTATTTTGATATTGGAGTATCGAGAGTAACTGTGTCTAGACGTCCATGTGTAAGAAATACTCGTTTGTACCAAGTTTCTTTGAATCCTTCATTTACTTCTCTGCTATTTGAAAGTTGTCGTAGAATCCTAATCCAATAAACGTTAAACGTCAAAACTAAAGAGACGTTTATAAGGAAACGTCCTCGACTCTGAAAATTTATAAAATTAGATAAAGCTTAAAACTCAGGCTAAGAAGATGATAGATAAGATGAGCTCACACAGATGTGCATATAAAACAAATAGGGAATTGGAATAATGAAGAATTAATTTCGAATTCAGGAATCAAATGGGACAGATTCTGGAAGTGAACATCGAGAAGAGAGAACGTTTGGAAGCTCAGGGCGACTTTGCGATAGCAACGGAGCAACAACTCTCGGACATATGGCACAAAGCTTTGACAAATCCAGCCGAGAATCAACAACAAGGGAGCTTTCAGAACAGAGTGGGGTAGGTAAATTGAAAATTTCTTCGATTCTTGTTCTTCAAGTTTTTCGAGTTTGAATTAAGCCGACACTTCGCTCGATTATTATCTTTCCTTTTATTATTATTATTTATTTATTTATTTATTTATCAGTTTCTTCGTAACTGAATCGCCATGCAAATAAGGAATATCGAATTTAATTATCGTAATTAATCGTATTAGTATATAAGTTCTACTAATCTTTCGTTGTGTTTCTGTACATTGCCAGAGGTATCATGGCAAACTTCCAGGTAAAATAACAAACTTACGCCATTTGTAGAACGTATTCACACCTATAGAGGTGTGAGAGACTCGATTTCGTTTAGATACTTTTGATTTGTAGATTTTTTATGTAAATACGAGAGAAAATATTATGTTGATCAAGATTATTTTTTTCTTTTTCATACTTTTAATTAATTTAACGAAAGACAGAACAATTGTAGAACCTAATAATATCTAATTGAAACTATAATTTATATTATATTAAAAAAAAAAAAAACAAATAATATCTAACATAAATTAAAATTTCTACATTCACGAGTATACACCTTATAGATTACTACATTCTTATCATGTCATTTTAACATTATTTTTCCGCCTATGTTACCGCCTATGTACACCGAGTAGTATTAAAATCGACAAATATCGAAATGGTATCTCTGGTACCCGAAACCAGATCTCCCGATTAAAACGATCGTTCTATCTTGCAGGTCAAAGATTAATCACGCGGCTGGCAAAGACATGCGGTTCCCAGAAAGATATCAACACCGTGGACAACAATCTTCAGTCGACCCTTCGAATACCAACCATACAAACGGCCTACGATTCAAACGCATAGACATACGCAATTTTGTGAACGAACGGCAACAAGCATACGGCGGCCGGCAACAACAACGCGCCGCCAACGGGCACCAGATCCCGTTCAAGGGTGGTTCTAATTTTACAAACGGGCAAGCCGCGTTTGTTAACGGTCACATCCCTTTAAATAATCATCACGGATCCGCGAACGGGCACGGAACCACAATTAACGGCCATCCGACCACGGTTAATGAACATCCATCGGCGAACAATGCGGCCAAAGGGCCTTCCACTAACGGGTATCGAAATATCATCACCGGTTGCCAGAACGGGTTGTTCATTAATAAAATGGTGGTCGGTGATGATTTGATCAAACCGTCGAAAATAAGCAACGGTCTTAAGAGTAACGGTTGCGTTAAAGCGATACAGGCTAAAGGGAACGACAATTCGAAGAAGCATAGGCAAGTGGCGATGAATGGGGATAACAATAAGAGGAGGAACGATCGATTGGTTAATTGTCAGAACGCTATCAATGGGAGATTAGGCGGGAGGAAAGAGGCGGAGAAAGAAACGTTTGGGATTCCAACCGATCTTAGGCAAATTCTGAAACCAACCGTTCAGAAACGGCAAGAGATATTCAAGGTGGATTACGATCCGGAGGATATAAATGGGCCGTATAATTTCAGACAGTTATTGAGGCCGGCTGAATACCTTCCCACCGAATCTTTGAGAAAAAGGAAGGGCGGCTTGGCCTGCAACGGAGTTCCACCTTCAAAGGACGAACTTCCTAAGAAACACGTGAAAAGAAGAGCGCCGTTGGCACCAAATCAGAATAAGCTCGTTAACGGGAAGAAATAAGTTTGAAGGAAGATATCTTCGACGTTCAAATGATTCCTTAGAAGTGTTTTATAGTTATTCTACCGGCACTGTTACTCGTTAGGTAAATGTAGAATAAGTATTGAGCGTATACGAATTCCGGAGGAAGGATGTTTTTAAGGATACATGAGCACAGAAATGACAGAAGATTTGAAGAAAGTATACGAACACGAGTTACGAATTGATTTTTATTCGATTAATGTATGAGATCAATGTGTAAGTAAATTTCTTTTAGAAAAAATTTTCATCTAATTGGAATTTTAATTTTTTCTTTTTATTCGAATTGGAAATGATTATTGGAATAATTTGAAAAATTATATGATTTTTTTTATTTTATCTCTAATTTTTCAATGCAAAAAATGCATTGAAAAATTATAACAAATTCATGATAAATTTATTTATTCTAATTCGAAAAATCACATATATTCCTCATATTTTATTTCATAATTATTATTCGTTATTTTCTCTCGATCAATTTAAAAATTCGATTTTTTGTATAATAATGTATGGAAAAAAATATTTATTTATTTAATAGAATAGCTGCTTAACGAAATACGTCTTAAAAATATCGTATATTTAGAACTAGTCATGTGTAGCTTTACAAATATTAGATATATTCGATAGCGTTAAAATAAATATCGTTTACGAAAATTTATGTTTCAAATATTTATAAGTTCCAATATATTTACGAGATATAATTTATATTATTAATAAAGCTGATAAAGTTGCTCATTAGTATCTCGCCTCGTTCAACATTTACGAATATGTCTTAATTAATATAATATTTACTAAATATTTACTAAATCTTAATATTAGTAATTATAACTAGTATGTATTTCGAGAAAATATACTTATGTAAATAAAATACTCATAGGAGCAAATCTATTTTATTATTATATTAATCAAATTTATATTTTCCTTATTATCCCTTCCTATATCCCTATTTCCTATATTATCCCTTCAATAACCTTATGAAGTTTTATAATAAGAAAGTATTCTCGTATTATATTATTATATTTCTCTAATACGAAAACACGGATGATTTCGAACACGGCGCAAAAAATGCAACATTTCTTCTAACACATATATCATATGACATATACCACACGTATTTTCATCATACTGTCTGACCTTTTCGATGATTTGCAATAGTTCTATGTTTCTACGTTTCGTTTAACACGATTTCGATATAATATAATACGAATTAATTATATTACAGTTGAACGTACATATATTATTCAATATTTTAATGATATTGATTTGTAATTAGCATTAAAAATTATTTGAAAGCATACGACGCAGAATTTCATATTCATATTCAATGCAATGGCGCGCAAAGCGAGAGCAAATTCAAAGTTACGTACCTTCTTTTCGATGTCATTGTTGATTCCACGATAAACGCATCTCCAGTCCACCCATTTTGTTCTCAGGGCACACAATACACGTTATACACCATTTTTCTTTATACTTTATACAAAATTTATAATTTTAAACGTAATAAAACACGCAATATAAGACGAGCAACGAACGACTTGCTTCCGAACGACGCCACCACATGAATCAACTGAATGGCAGAAGATGGCGCTGCTGCTCCTTCTTGAAACTTGCTGCATAGTTACACGACGAGTAGTTTCAGTTAGTGGCCGTCCCAACTCAATGTCGCTGGCGTCGTTGATTACCAGAAGAACGATTGGCTAGCGATTCGACTAGAGAGGCATCTAGGGAAATAAGTGGAATCGCACGAGTGTTGTGAGAGGGTAGTGAAGACGCACGAGAAGCAAGAGGGGTACAACGAACCCCTCTAGGCTCGGTTCGAGTCTACGGAGCTCGGAGTTGTGTTCGAATCATGGCGACACCCGACCCCGTAGACCCAGCCACCCTAGAGATAAAGACCCGTAGCATAGAACAGACACTACACCCACTAGTAAAGCAGGTAAGACAATTTATCGGAAATCGGAGAAAAAGAATGTTTATTTGCTCTAATCACTTGGTTTTTATTTGAGCCGCTTACATTCCTAGCTTTTAATCGCGATAGGTTAAGGTCTTCTTACCCCGGCTTACCTCGATGCATTACATTCTGTTGCACGGCACTCGATATCGCCTATAGAATATGACCATGCTTGTATACGTGTTTATCTATAACGTTACTCTGCATATACGTGTGTTATCGCACACGTGTATAAGAGTGTATAAACGCGACAGATGCATGTATTCGTAAAAAAAGGAGAGAACCGCGTATATGACAAAGAGAAAGAATGAATGTAAGACGAGCGAGAAACTAGTGAATGTGCGACGAGGATAAACAAGCGTGCCGGTCGCGCTTTGGAACGGGATAGATATACAGAAGGAGCGTGTATGCGGAGGATTAAGTGTTACTTAAGACAAAGAACGTGCAGCATTAACCATTCCTTCGATATCGATTTAATCTTAACGAAAGTATCTTTTTTAGGCCATAGGTTTTAGTTTTAAAAAGAAACATCATTGTATTTGACAGTTCTCACGCCGGGCATGTGCTTTCTATCATCGAGCGACCGAACTGCCACGCGCTCAAAGTAACAGATATTTTGGTACTCCTTCGTTCTCTCGCGTCTCTTCTCCTTCTGTTGTCTAACATTTTTATTCTACTTTTTTTTTATCGTGGCTATATACATATCTTTACATATAAACGTATATTTGTCGGGAATAACATGACTTGTGTTTCGTGCCGCGGCGTCGATTTCGAGCTTTCGTAAAATTATGACGAATTTTTTCGTTGTATGTAATCGCAGCGTATACCTTATAATTTGTGTGCATGGTCATGAGTACACGTAAAAGCATGCCTATAAGAGTCAAAGGACGTTGTAAAAAGTGAAGAACTTGTAAAAAGTTTTAATTAAATGAATTCGGCGGGACTAGTGCACGGAACGCCAGCAAAATACTATATTACTACGATAGTAAATACAATATCTAGATCAAATAATAATTTAAAACTAAATTAAAAGTTTTTCTCTTTTTTTGACTGAATTTAAAACATATATTTTTTGGAAATTACTTTTTGGTTTAATTTCGAATCATTAAAACGAAATTATAATGAATTAAATATATGTACAGTAAAAAAAAGAAAAAATAGAATTGAATTTGTTTAATTGTATCATTTCGTGACAAACCTTTAGTCATATGATAAATTACGAGATTCAACGTATTTTCTTTTTGTTTTTAGCTTCTATATTACTAATTTCAGAAATAAAAAAAGGTCACGAAAATTTTTGGCCGTTTTATAACCAGACCAGTTCAAAATTATAAATGATTGATTCTTCGTAAATATCATATCTATTTTTGCGGTAAGTTAATTTAGATTATTACGTAATTTTTTTTTGTTATTTTAATATTTATAAAATATAATTTATAGAAATATTATTTAAATAATAGTAAAATTATTTGATTAAATTCAATTCTTTAATAATATTAGATAATTAAAAGTTTTAGAATTTGTATATATCAATTGCACAAATGTATTTCATCACATATATGTATATATATGTATATATGCACATTTGTACAGTACACACGATATAATTTATATATTATAATAATAATATTTAATTTTAACCTTATCTTAAATATTTATAAATAATTAAAATAAACGATAAATAACAACTACATAATTATGAAATAAATAATTAGATAGAATTGATCATTAAACGAAATTATTCAACAATATAGAATTTTTGAATAGATCTATTATTATTCATTTATAGAAATTATATATTTTTAAAATGAAATTGAATAAGAGATAAAAGTTATAATAATATCCTATCTTATCGCTTAAAGTATATATACCGAAAAATCTGCTCCTTTTATCAAGTGAAATTCAATCCACCTTCTTTTTCGAGTATACTTCAAAGGAGACGTGTCTTTAAAAGAAATCTGAATTGACGATAGTCTTGTATTGCTGTCATTTAAAATCTCCTCCTCCAAAATAATAAAACTCATAATCAAAGCATAAAAGATACATCAAAAATAGAAGAGCAAACTAATTCGAATGGATTCTCTTTATCGAGGATCCATTTAATTTATCAATCATCGATTTAGTTTTTTTCTAACTTTACTCTTCACTTTTCGCCTCTTTCAAGCTAATCATACCTAATAATTTTAGAATACCAATAATAGGCACAAGTTGCTATCTGAATTTTATCTTTACTTAGAAATATATATATATGTAAATAAATAAAAAAAATAATTATTGAAAATTAAAAATTCAAATTTCAACTCATTCGTTACTCACAAATCAGTGAATCATCATATTATTTCTAAATAAAAAATTCATTGGCAACGTTAAATGTAAAAGGCGCGGTTTTTTTAAAAAAAAAAAAGGAAAAGAATTTTTATTTTATACGTAGCAGAAGTGATCGATCGGTCCAATTAAATGGCCATCGTTTACGGACGCGTCGCGATGAAAATTATTTCAAGCGAAAAGGGAATGAAATATCAACCGATCATGAACGAACTTTTGTGCAATCGTTAAGCGATATTTCGACGATGTTGGTACATCATACGTACGCGTGTCCGCAAAGAAATGCGGAATTGGTGTGTATTGGTTAAACCTCTTAGGGTAGAGAAAGCGCGCGAGTGTCTGTGCATGACACAGGAGGCGATCGTTACGGACTGCAGCCACTTGTTAGAGCTCCGTCTAGCCAACCCCCGATTCTTTCCTCTATCTTCCTTCTTTCACCTCGTCTTCTTTTCCCACTTTCCAACCACTCTCCCTTCCTCTGACAGAGACCTTCGACCTATACTTTTTACACAGCCCTTTCCACCCTGATTCTGAGTGGTGGTCGAGTTGCGGTCAATGTTTTATTGACCATCGCCTACTTCGTTCGCTGGTATACCGCGATCGTTTCACTGCCCTCCTCGTTTCTCGCTCCTTTGATTTCAATTACGAGCCAATCAAGGAATTTTGCGATTTTAATTCGATCTTTGGTCGATTAATTTTTGACATCGGATGAATTTAATTTTTGACGTTTAAATTGGATGTCTTGGTGTAGGAGTGAGTATTGATATATAAATATCAATAATATCTTGAGAGAGATCATGTCAATGAGATATCGATAATATATTGATAATCGATAGTAGGATAACTCTAATGCAGGATTGAAATTATCGTATTGTTCTATTGTTCTTTGTTAATAAGAATAGACAATTGTTGTATTTAATTGATTGGTTAATATTGGAAATTTTGTTTGAAATTTATATCTTCTTTTATTATTCTCTAGGCTGCATTGTTTGTTTTTGCCTATTTTGAAAATTGATTTGAAATCTTATTATCTATTAATAAGATTGTCAAATTTTTATTATTAGTTCAGTGATTAATCGATTATTTTAATCAGCAATTTTATAAAAGTATAAAAGTTTGAGAATTTTAGTTGAATCAATGTTTGTTTTTTCACAATTTCTTCCACTTAGTTCTTATTATTCAAGAAATTTCCAGGAATACTTCAATTAACCCTAGTTCCACGCTTGAACTGCGGCTCTGATATCATCGACGTGTTAAAATTAATGACTGCGGGCTGTACATCACCTCTCAATTGTAAATGCAAATTAGAGGCTAACTATGGAGCAATCTCTCGACGAATATTAACATCATAAAATGTTAATCCTGCAAAGCTAATTGCAAAACATAATTTTCTGCACTCTTCATTTTTATTGATTAACAAAATAAGATTGAAAAATTTTATTATCTCTTATTTTTCAGTATGTTATAAAATAATCTTCACTGTTTCCCCTATATATCGTTCGTGAATTTTTCAGAAAAATAACTTTCACTTTGATTTTGCTGCTGGATCAAAGGAATCACGGTTTTCAAAAGATTCTTTCATCAATGCTTCTCATTTTTCACTATTGTATAAGCGATCACGTTTATTTTTCATCCAAGAAGATAATTGAAAAAACTGTATCTTCAAAAAAATAATTATTTTGCGTATAAAATTCAGCGTCTTTATACGTGTGAATGAAATTTTACTTCATAAATTGAAATATTTTTAAATTAAACTTCTGATTCAATATTATTATAATCCATAGAATAAAACTTTCTTATTTACATTTTATTAATTCTTATCAATGTTTGCAATTGTATACGTATGTCGTCAAACGAGGACAAGAGTTTTTATTGAAAAAAATCGACACACATTCGTAAACCACCGATGTCTAATGAAAATTCCTCACTTGAGTGACACACTTGAACGCTTCAATTAACCTCGATCTTCGACCCTCACAGTGACCCATTACTGACATGTTACGATCACTGACTATGGTATGAAGACTTCCGCAGTGCCTGTCCTTGCTGTATACACGAGAAAAGATAAACGATAATAGCAGAACGTTAAAACGTCTCGAAAAATGTGTATTTACCATCACTTTAACAAACTTGTTCATCTCACGATCGTAAATCTCCTTTAAAATGCTCTTTTATTAGAAACGAATATCTCTTTCGAATTTTTCTCTATACGTGTATTAAGCTTGTTTATCTTTCTCCTTCAAATCATTTTATGGAGCATAACCTCTATTTTTATTTATATAGTTCTTCTATATTATCGTTCAAAGTACAGGCTTGACAATGAGCTCGAATGCATAAAGATTATTTAAACTTCTGGCTCTTCTGAATATGAAAATATTAAATAAACTTAAATTCTTACTTCTTCTTTGTATACTTTGCAGTTAATTGTTTTATGTTCACAAATTCAGATATACTTCTTCATCTAAAAAATCTTGAAATTATATTTTATTTTATCATTTGAAATACAAATATAAATACATTTGATTATGTAACGCATGCTTTACATTTCTTTTTGAACTTATATATTTCGATTTTCTTAATTTATTTTTCTTTTTGGAATAGCACATGTTACAATTACAGTCCGTTGTCTGTGTCTTAATAAACTGTATGATTAGAGAAGA